TTAAAAAGTAAAAGACCAGGTTTATTGGGCAAAGCACTCCAGGTGACTCTTCGGCCCCCAGAGATGAAGTGGGGAGAGGGGACATAAGAGAGGTCACATGACCGCTCTGGGGGAGGAGGTTTAAGTACCCTGTAGATGCAAGGTGGGGAGACAAAGTGTCCTCCAAAAGCTGGGTTTGCGTCCCATCAGGATAGGCCGGGTCTTGAGCAGCCAGCAGCCTTGGGGGAGGAGCCGCCCCAGCACCGAGAGTGCAGAACTGGGCTTTTTCCGTGGTTCTCTGAGAGGGCTGCATTTGGAGAATGAGAACTAGAGCTGGGCTGGAGGTTCCAGGAGAACACGTGCACCTCTACATGAGTTCCAGGGACGAAACCCGGGCGTCGGGTCTGCCTTCACTCGTGTTGAAGCCGTGCCTCTCCAACTGAGTGTGGTGGCTCACACCTCTAATCCCAGCACAGAAGACAGATCCAGGAGGCTCACACAGGAGACAGGAGACCCTACCTCAAAACTAAACAAACGGAAAACAGTATTAACAACAACAAAAAACGGGGCTAGAGAGATGGCTCGGCAGTTGAAGGCACTGCATACTCTTACCCAGGATTGGAGTTCAGTTCCCAGCCCCCAAGTCAGGTAGCTCACAACTGCAACTGCCTGTAACTCCAGCTCTGGCTTCTGTAGACACCGCACATGCGTGCGCGCACACACAAACATAAAGGAGCATTGCTATCCGATCTCTGTTTTCCCACAGGCACAGAGCCCTGAGCTCTTTATCCCCACCGGGTTATCTGTTTCTTTCAAACAAATAGAATGCTCTCTCGAAAGAAGCTGTCATAAAGAAATGCACCCTCAGGCTAGAGAGTTCCACCGTTAAAAAGGGGCTGGGCTCACAACCGAGCATGCACGCATACCCTCAGCTCACTGCAGCTGGAATTAGCCGCAAGCTTGCTTTATTTAATGTGTTGTCACTTTAGATTCAGTTTAGGGATGCAAGAGATTCTGTAGCCAAGCATGGCGGCACGTGTCTGTAACCCTAGCACTTGAAACGTGGGAACAGAAAGGGCGATTCAAGGCCAGCCTGAGCTACAACGGTGAGTTCGAGGCTCATCTAGGCTACCTGAGACCTTGTCTCAAACAAAATAGAAATTTTAGTTAATTTCCCATTCAAGGCCTGGCCTATAGGTATCACTTACTCAGGCCTGGAAGTGAGCACGGGATCGCATGTTTGTAGGTACTTGCTGAACGAGACCACGGTGTCTCCCCCTCCTCCTGTGCCCCCACACCCCGCCCCACCCACTGCAGCCTGCCGTCTTGGAAAGGCTGTCTTTGTGATCTCTGCACTAAGCAATACAGCCTGTGAGTGCACTGGCTCCTTGGAAGGCCGACGAGCCTTCTCCCCGTGACTCCCAGGATGGTGGTGACTTCTGAGAAGTCGGAGGGTCATGGGAAAGGCTACAACCTGGGCCCTATGGAGTAATCAGGGTTTCAAAGCCTCCAAGGCACAAAGACACAGCCCCAGCCACAAGTCTGGAACGCTGCATCTGGTGCGGGTCCCTCATCCACACACATAGCCCAACAGAGCAGACTGGAAATAAAGACCCAGGAGACCCGAGACTTGAATGGGTCACCAGCTGCCTTGTTTCCTTTTGCTCATAGCTGTGGTGATGATTCTGACAAGAGAACTGGAGGCAGAAAGGCTTTGTCTGCCATGGTGGAGGGCGCTCAGGGCAGCAGGAGCTAGGAGCGGCTGTCCCCTGACATCCGCAATGAGGAAAACAGAAGGTGAATGCCCCATGCTCTGTTCCTTTACCCGTTTGCACAACGCAGGATAGGGAATGGTACCGCTCCAGGTGGGCGGGCCTTCCCACTTGCAATTGATTTGATAGGATAGGGAATGGTACCGCTCCAGGTGGGCGGGTCTTCCCACTTGCAATTGATTTGATAGGATAGGGAATGGTACCCCTCCAGGTGGGCGGGTCTTCCCACTTGCAATTGATTTGATAGGATAGGGAATGGTACCGCTCCAGGTGGGCGGGTCTTCCCACTTGCAATTGATTTGATCGCAGGTATTCTCTGAGGCTGACCTAAATCTAGATAGCCCCCCAGAGGTGTGGCTGGAGACTTTCTCCTGAGTGATTTCAGATGCTGAGAAATTGTCAGTCAGTGCTAACCCTCATGGGCACTCCATTTCCTTTGTAAGATGGGTCCTCTTCTCGTCTGCCCTGGGCCAGAAGTCCACACCAGAGACTCTGCCAAACACCCACCCGGGCCACCCTCTCCCTCACCCCCTCCCCATGTCCACACTAACTTTTCTCACTGGTTCAAAACACCTCTTCCCACGTCTGACTTCTGTCGGGCTACAAGCGTACCGCTCATCATGGACACGCCACGCCCCGTCTGTCTATGTCATAAATGACCTGGTGAGTCTAAAATCTGGTCCAGGACAAAGACCGTATCTTCTCCCCACATCTCCCAACACCCACCCTGGGGTCCAGACTAAGTCAACATACAGAGCCTAGGGACATGGCTCTCTTGGCAGAGCGTTTGCCTAGCGTGAGCAAAGCCCCGGATTCAATCCCCAGTGCTGCATAAAACCAGGCACGGTGGAATACGCCTGTAATCCAAGCACTCGGGAGGTGGAGGCCGGGAGGCTCGGAAGTTTAAGGTCACCCTCTAATGCATGAGTGTGAGGCCAGCTGAGCTGCGTGAGGCCCTGTCTAAAACAAAATCAGCACTGTTTTATATTGAATGGGACAGAAGGTATTAGACAGAAGATGGCTCGGCTGCTTCCAGAAAAAATGCCTGTGCCTTAAAACCCAAAGAAGGCGGGAGTGGGGAGGAGCAAAAGGAAAGAAAGAGGGGGGGGAAGGGAGGGAAGAAGGGAGGGAGGAAGGGAGGGAGGGAAGGAGGCTAAAAGCTTATGGAATACACCAAAGAGCTGTGCATCAGTACAAAAGCTCATTTGAAAGGGCAAAGGAAAGCTGGATGGCTGTTAATGGCGTACTGAATACGATAGATTATTACTTAAACCCCTTGGTTTCGCTCTTTGCTGTTACAAACAGTTAATTGGAGGGAAGGAAAAGCTTTGGGAAAAAGCCTCAGAGCTGGGCCTGCCTCTGCGGGGTGGGAGGTGAGACCACGGAAAGCCTCCAGTCCACACTGGCTGCGGCTTCTCCAGGACCACACAGCCACCGGGCAGCACGGCTATGGGGGGGGGGCGGGGGCGGGGCTCACTCCCAGCCTCAGCGGGGGCCACGCCCCATCTACCTGCACTCTGGTCCCCTGCGAAGCTGGAGCCATTGACAGTCACAGTAACTCGAAGAACAGAGGATGGGAGCCGTGTGGTGGTGCTCTTGGCTCTGAGCGCCCTCCGTTCCCTGCCTGGGCCCCACTCCATTGGTCTCACCTAAAGAAAGCTAAGTGCTGGGCTAGGGAGACAGCTGCTCAGTTGGTAAAATGCTCCACATGCAAGGCGAACGCCTGAGAGCGGTCCTCGGAGCCCACATCAGAAACGGGGCGTGGTAGCGTGCTCGTACCCCGGGCTCCCAGAGGCAGGTGGCACGGGCTCACTGGCCACCTTTGGGTGGGATTTGAAACAGCAGGTGACACAGTCGGTGCTGGAGAGATTCGGTGCTGGAGAGATTCGGTGCTGGGGAGATTCGGTGCTGGGGAGATTCGGTGCTGGGGAGATTCGGTGCTGGGGAGATTCGGTGCTGGAGAGATTCGGTGCTGGAGAGATTCGGTGCTGGGGAGATGGGTCTGCAGTACACAGCTCTTGCTAACAGTGCCACGTTCACCCCATCAGTGCAGGAGACGTCGGGGTGGCAGGGACTTGAAGCATCCAGTGATACGACATCCACAGAGTTCGGGTCCTAACAGCCACATAACAAGCCAGGTGCCCTGGACATCCTGTGACACCAGCTCCCAGGTGTGTCCCCTGCATCCTGTGACACCAACTCCGAGACAGAGACCACGGCGTCACTTGCTGACTTCCAGTCTAACCAAGGAAGCACAAGCCAAAGGTTCAGAGAGAGAGAGAGACCCTGCCTCAAAGGCCCTCCTGCGGCCTCCACATACGTACACAAGCAGGCAAATTGGAATGCACATCTGTGCACACACTCATACAGACACATACACGCACAAAACCAGATAGTGGTTTGTTGGACAGTGGACGTCTGTCTTCCACACGCATATGCACACTTGTACATGTACGCCCGTGCACACATTTACACCCACACACATGATGTGCATGCAGTTAATGCTGTTTTTATTTATTTTTTAATTATGTAGGGGTAAGTAGGTTTCTGGGCTTGAGTGCAGGTGCCTCTGAAATCTAAGGCTTCAGATTTGTTGGAGCTAACGTCACACGTGGGTTCCGTCTGCCTAATGTGGGTTCTGGGAACCAAACTCCGATACCCCGTAAGAGCAGTAGGCATCCTTAACCACTGAGCCGTCTCTCCACACATCTTATTTAAAAAAAAAAGTACATACCTGCGTGTGGGTGTTTGCATGAGGATGCAGTACACACAGAGGCCAGAAGAGGGCGTGTCAGATCCCCGGGAGCTGGAATTTTGGATGACTGTGATCTGCTGGGAACTGAACTCGGACTCTCCTGCAGGAGCCGTGTGCGTTCTTCATTGCTGAGCCCTCTCTCCAGCCCCCAGTTAACGTTCTTCAGTTGTACACTAACAAAGAAAACAAGGAAGGGGGGAGAGAAGGGAGAAAGGAGGGATTTCTGAGAATAACCCTCCAGTCGTGGATTTTATTAATAACCCTGTGGTGGGTGGGAGAAGGGTACCGGATAGCATCATCAGCAAAGAGAGAAATTCGGGAACGCAGAGCTGTGTGACAGAAAAAAAAATCCCGTACGCAATGTTTACTTGACAACACTTAAAGAGTCTGAGTGACACTGTCCCGGAGTCAACATCAAAATGTTGAGACCCGCACGTCTGCAAGATATTTAACAAACATGGTGGAGAGGCAGCTCTGTGATTGCTGAAGTAGACAAGGAGGGTTCCGAGATTCGGCGAAGTGTAAGGTTAAAGGCCTGAATTTTCACTTACATTTCGTATTTAGTCTTATGTCTAAAGACTACTCCTAACCTTCAGTTTTGTCACCAGAAAACATTAAAACATCTCCATTAACCATAATCCTTGGAGTAAAGCTTTTATTTCAGGATAAAAAGCTTTCTCGCAAGCTTGTTAATTAGGGGTTCACAGCTTCTCCTTGTAAATCAGAAGTCAACACCAACACCAGAAGTGTATGATGTGTGCGTGTGTGTGCGTGTGTGTGGAAAACCAAAATGCTAACAAAGAAAGGTGCATAAGAGAATAATTTTATATTTAAACGCCATGGTGCTCAAAGAGTCTAGAATAATATTTCCATCAAGATGGAGAATTAGGCACCTTGGATAATTCCTGAAATCAAAACAACTAACACAATGAATAAAACAATAACAGGTGAAAATGTAAAACACTTTGAAAACGGCGGTGATTTTTAAAGAGCAACATATAAAAGAAGCAGGAGCCTCTGTCTCTTGGTTTCATTTCCTATTGATATGCTAAAATAACCCAGCAAAAGCAACTCAAGGAGGAAGGGTTTATTGAGCGCACAGGGGAGGGTCCATGGGCGTGGCTACGCGGCAGCCACAGTCAAGAGCACACAACCGCTTGCATGCTCCTCACTTCCTCCGCTCTCTCGCAGTTCAGAACCCCCTACCCAGGAAATGGTGCTGCCCGTGATGGGCTGGGTCAACTAGCAAGCAACTTGCACAGACAGGTCCAACATCCGAAGACCATTCTGATCCGGACAGTTTCTCGCCGAGCCCTCCTTCCCAGGCACACCATGTCAAGTTGACACCAGAACCAGCGTCTCTGCCTGGAAGAGCATGTTGTGCAGCCGCATGTGGTGCATCTTGCCTTAACAATGAACTTGTGGCATTGGCCACACCCTTGGGCGTGGTTTCAGGTGCAGGTGTGACCCCTTAAAGAGAGAGGAGCTGCCGCAAGCGCTATTGAGACTGCATCTTCTGGAAAAGGAAGACCACGGTGGTTATTTACTATTATCTGTGTAAGTGCTTCCCTAATAAACACCTATTCATCATTTGTCTTGGGTCTGGAGAACTCATCACACACACACACACACACACACACACACACACACGCACGCACGCACGCACTCACGCACGCGCCTTCAGCATTGGTAGCAGTTTTCACCTGGCACATCTCTGCTAAGCCCTGGGCACCAGGTGCTTCCTTTCAGACGGTTACACATGAGAAGGGAGGCAGAAGTCCCAGGACGCTCTAGAGTCAAATGCTTAAAGGACCCCAGTGCATCAAGGGTAGCAGCAAGGGCCTCACCAGGGATGGGAGATAAGCAAACATCCAGGGGCCTCTGGGAGGCTTGAGGAACAACGTAGGTCCTTTCTTGATAATTATTATAATTGTAGATAGAAATTTTTAAAACAAAAAATAAAATACAAAGGGCTGTAAAGGATGGTCTTACAGAGTTCCGTGCCAGTGTCACTTCCTCTCAACAATGTGCTGGGGTTCCCCAAATTCAGGAGGGGCCCCCAAGCTGGATTCGTCGCCCCAAGAATCAAGAGTCCACGCGCCAATTGATGCAACACGCAAGAGGTTTTAATTAGGCATCTGCAGATGGGCCTCTCGGTCAGCTTTCAGACCGATTGGCCCCAAGGTTCAGTTACAATCAGCTTTTAAAGACAAAAACCACAAGCCTTTGGGAGGGGTCCCTATCTTGTGATGGGGGGGGGTACGTGACTACTGGCCAGGAGAAGTAGATATCTTCCTGACCTACACGTTGTAAATTCCTCAGACCTTGGTATGAGTTAATCATCTCTCCCTAAGTAAATGGTGTTATCATCTCCTTGTTTCCCACAAATCTTGTTTGCCCATCTCTGACACCCTGGTCAGTTCTTCACAGGTGGTCAGCAGCCCGGAATTGGCCTTTTGTGGGTTTACAGCCCTTCTGCAATTAAGGTTGCTAAACCATACATTCCATTCTGTGGTTTGGCCAGTTCCTGGAATGAGGCCCTTTGTTCACTTCCTGAGTTCTCTAGTGAACTCTAGCCCTTCCTGTTTAAGCTTATATTTTATTTCTATGAATTCGGGGTCTTTCAAATGGACTGTCTACCAGAGCTGAGGGCCAAAAACACCCTTTGTTCCTTAAGTTACTTTTGTTGGGGTATTTTCTCATAGTAGCGGGAAGTGAAACCAAGATACACACACACATGCAAATTAAATACCATATTGGACACGTATGAAGAGAAAATTAGTAATCTGGAAGGTTGACAGAAGAAGATTAAATGAAACTACCACACAGAAATACAAAATGATAAAAAGAAATTTAAAGATGTGCTTTTATTATTCTCTCTCTCTCTAGAGTGGGGGGTGTGTTTTTATTATTCTCTCTCTCTAGAGAGTGTGTGTGTGTGTGTGTGTGTGTGTGTGTATGTGTGTGCCTGTGCTCCAACAAGTGATGAGTGCACCCATGGAAGCCAAAAGTCACTGGATCCTGGGTAGCTGGAGTTACAAGCAGTGGTGGTCTAGCAGATGTGGATGCTGGGAGCCAAACTCTGGGCAGTTCACACCGTTAGCCGCTGATCCATCTCTCCAGGCCCTGATGTAAAATTTTAATAACAGTTAAGGAGCATGGAGGAGAAAAAAGGGACAACACAAGAAAATGCAGTATTGAAAGTGTTGTGGTAGCCGCCGAGGACACTCGATAACATCCCAGAAAAACGCTGCCTTACAACTCTAAGAAGCTCAGTGAACCCAAAACAAAGCCAACAGTTTAAGAAATTACTAACAGCTGGCTTTCTGGAGCCCATTCCCTTTGGAGGGTTACCTTGCTCATCCTAGATACAGGGGGGAGGGCCTTGTTCCTGCCCCAAATGATGTGACAGACTTAGATGATTCCCCAAGGGAGGTCTCTCACCCTCTCTGAAGAGTGGATTGTGGGTGGGGGGATGGTGGGAGGACAGGAGGGAGAGGGAACTGGGATTGGCGTGTAAAATAAGGTTGTTTTTAATATAAAAAGAGAAATTAGTAACGCACATGAGCGTGAAATCTCAAGACTTCAACAGCAAAGTCTGAAAGTCTCCGGGAGAAAAGACAGATCATGTCCCAGTGAGTGGCAGCCAAATTGATGACTGCCTCAGTAGCAACAGCAGAATCATAAAACAACGGGATAAAATGTCTAATGTGCTGAGAGAAGGGGGAGGCATCCAAGACTGTCAGCCCGAAACCCATCCTTCAAGAACAACGGCAAGATACAGACAATTTCAGTCAAGAACTAAGAAAAGTTGAGACACTGATAGGTCCCCCACTAAAGAGAATACTCAAACAAATACTTCAAGTGGGAGAAAAATTGTCCTACATGGCATAAGCCTGAGGAACGAGGATGAGAAGGAGAAACATGTCCGCAAGGAGGTAGCCAAACGCACACGGCCGACAGCCACAATATTATCTGATGTGAGGCTCAAGGAAGCTGGCAGAAGCACAATACAGGATGACGGAAAAAAAAAAAAAACATGTTAGCTGCAAGAGGTTAATGGCCTTGGAGTGTTCTGGAACCCCTGCATCGTCTAATTACGCGGGAAGATTAACACACTGCCCGACTGCAGCACTCTAAAATGAGTTGCTAAAGAAACAGACAGAGATTGCATAGCTTTTTCCAAGCGTGTTGAGAGGGAAATCATAAGAAGAAGAAGAAAAAAATGTTAGATGTGGGGTTTGTTGGGCATTCTGCAAAGTGAATGAGCCATAAGTCCGTCACAAAACGGACTCAGTGGTTAGGTGAGTTTGCGCTGCAGTCCTCCCATAGTGAGGCGGGCGTGTTATTGAAACCTGTAGCTCCAGACAGGAGAGGGGACAGAGATGAGAAAATTACCTAGGCTTGCTGCCTTCCAGTCTAGCCAAGAAAACCTGAGTTCCAGGTCCAAGGTGAGAGCTGACTCTAAGGAATAGACAAAGATTTCTAGAGGAGAATACTCAGCGCCCCCTTCTGGCCTCTGAGTGTATGTACAGGTGCATGTACTCACACACACTTATATACACTCACACAGAGACACACAAACAAACACAAATAAATAAAATCTTTAAAAAAGAAAAAACACTGTTACTTAACAAGCAGGTAAGATGGTGCATCTCTGTAACCCAATCATAAGTTCAAGGCCAGCCTCAGCTACATAGCAAGTTCTTCTGCCCTATGAGAGAGAGAGAGAGAGAGAGAGAGAGAGAGAGAGAGAGAGAGAGAGAGAGAGGAGGGAATAAGAGGGAGGGGAGGGGAGAGACAGAGACTGTCTCTAGGTAGAAAGTAGTATGATGATGGTGATTGGCAGACGGTTGGCAGAGGGGAGGGTGGGAAGTTGTTTAGTGGTCACAAAGTTTCCAAACTGGAAGCTGCAAGCATGGTAATTAGCCTCACAAGCATGTCTGTGCAGTTTATACGCATCTCCATGGTCAACTTGGTGGCATTTGGAATCATGTGGGAAACACACACACCTCTGAGCTTGTCTGTGGCAGGGTGTAGAGTGTAGCCTTCCCCGCCATCTGCCTGCACCCTGCCACATTTACAGTCCCCAAATAACACACAGGATGCTGTATTAATTATGATGCTGTTGGCCGTTTGCTTGTTTCTTTTTTTTTTTTTTTTTTTTTTTTTTTTGGTTTTTTGAGACAAGGTTTCTCTGTGGCTTTGGAGGCTGCCCTGGAACTCACTTTGTAGACCAGGCTGGCCTCGAACTCACAGAGATCCACCTGCCTCTGCCTCCCAAGTGCTGGGATTAAAGGCGTGCGCCACCAACGCCCAGCCGTTTGCTTGTTTCTTACTGGTTAGCTCTGACTTAAGTATTTAACCCATAATTGTTAATCTAAGTATTTCTTTTACCGGAGAAAAGGGTCAGGACCTTTTCCTCCTCTGGCAGGCTACATTGTGTCTGCCTGTGTCTCTCTTTCCCAGAATCCTCCTCTACTCCTAGTCCCACTTATCTTGCTTCCCTATTGGCCAACAGTGTTTTATTGACATATACACAGGACTTCCCCCATCAGTAGTGTTTCCAGAAACAAGCACCATGTAATAAAAGAGCAGAAAGTAAGACGGGCGGTGGTGGCGCACGCCTTTAATCCCAGCACTTGGGAGGCAGAGGCAGGCGGATCTCTGTGAGTTCGAGGCCGGGCTGGTCCGACAGCCTCCAAAACAATACAGAGAAACCCTGTCTCGTAAAACCAAAAAAAAAAAAAAAAAGAGCAGAAAGTATGTAAGGGTAAATAATTGAAGAACCCAATTACAAATGGCAGTATTAAATTTTACTCAGAATTTAAATCCTTAAATTGTAGTTGCAGCTCAGTGGTAAAGGGCTTATCTAGGGCACACAGAGTCCTGAGTTTGAACCTCAGTCCCACGAAACAAATAAATAATGTTAAATAAAAATCCAGTTATCCACTTGTCATAAAGTACAATTAAAATAGAAGAAAATAGAAATGTGGGAATGGCTGTTCCTTGGGGTTCACCCCCACAATGTCCTGCAAGTCATGTTTTATTTTAAAGATTTGCTTACATTGAGTGTGTGTGTGCGCGCGCGCGTGTGTAAGCCAGAAGAAGGCATCTGAGCCCTTGGGTACTAGGACTGAACTTGGGTCCTTGGGTACAATAGCAAGCCCTCTCGACCACTGAGTCATCTCTCTGGCCCCTGAAGACATTTTACATGTGTTAGGCTTCACAAATGTTTGGAGAAATGACATGAACTTTTTCATTATAGAAACACCAGACATCTGTGGCCCAATATGGCAGCTCGCTGCCTTGTTCCTACCCCACACATCCTGTCTGTCCACATGAACCCAAGGCCTTTAATTCTTCCTGCCCGTGGGTCAAGCAATTTGGCTTTCTCCAGACACTACCTTCTCATCCTATATATACATTTCTATGTGCGCCCTCACACATGTGAGCATGCACACGCATACATGTGCCCTCACACATGCAAACATGTATACACATACATTCATTAATGTACCCTCACACATATGAGCACACACACACATACATGTACCCCCACACGTGCAAACATGCACACACATACAAAGAG